GAGGGTGCGGGGGCGCGCGCGGGGGGGGGCGCCTCGCGGCGGCCCCTCGAAGAGGCCGAGCCAGGGGGGGACGCCGAGCGCCGCCCCCCCCGCCGCGCGCCGCGTCAGGATGTCGGTGACCGCCTCGATGTCGTCGCACGGGTCAATAGCTGCGGGGACAGGAGGGACGCGGCGTCAGGGCCCCGCCGGGGGGGGACAGGGGGACACGGGGCCATCCCCACGGCCACCCCCCTGCGGCCAGGACGTCACCCCCACGGGGAGCTGCCCCGCGGCAGGGACAGCCCCGGGGCCGGCTCTGCAGCGGGGACATCCCCGTGGCCAGGACGTGCCCTGCAGCGGGACACCCCCCCCCGGCTGGAATGCGCCTTGCAGCCGGACATTCCCGGCGCCAGGAATGCGCCCTGCAGCTGGGATGTGTCCCGCAGCTGGGACGGCCCCTTGGCCAAGATGCAGCCTGCAGGGACGTGCCCCGCAGCGGGGCTGTCCTGGCGGCTGGGACGCGACCCGCACTGGGATGTGCAGCGCAGCGGGAATATTCCCGCAGCCTGGAAGTGTCCTGCAGCTGGGACAGCCCCAAGCTGGGACAGGGCCTGTGGCCAGGACATGCCCTGCAGCGGGGACGTCCCCTCAGCCAGAACGTGGCCAGGACAGCTCCAAGGCTGGGACGCCCCCTTGGCCAGGACGTCTCTCCCGCGGGGACAACCCCGGGGACAGGATGTGCCCTGGAGCTGCGTCAAGCCCTGGCCGGGACATGTCCTGCAGCTGGGACATCCCCAGGGTCGGGATGCGCCGCACAGCTGGGATGGGAGCTGCAGCGGGGACGTTCCCAGAGCCAGGAGGGGCCTGGACAGAGCGGGACCGGCTGGTGGCGGATGCCAGGGGGCGCGGGCCGTGGTGCGGGCAGCCGGGCGGCCCCGCTACGTCACCTGTCACTGTAATAGGAGGAGAGCAGAGCGCGGATCTCCGCCGAGACGGCGTTATCCTGCAGCAGGAGCCCCTCGCAGGCGGAGGGCGGCCCGGGGGGGCCGGGCAGCGCTGCAGCCGCAGGGGGGCAGAGCCGGAGTGACAGAGCGAGCAGGAGGAGGCGGAGAGAGAGGCAGCGTCACGGAGAGGCGCGAGAGGCAGAGCGGAGAGGAGGGCGACAGAGCGAGCCCCGTCCCTGTCCCCGTGCCCAACCCCGTGCCCGCGCTCACCCATCTCGTGGTAGAGCGAGCCCTGCTTGGGCAGCGGCGCGGGCGGCCGGCGCGGCGACGGCACCTCGATGCGCATGAGCTCCTCACAGCACTGCTTCCACTGGCCTGCGGGCAGCGGGGCTCAGCGAGGGCCCCGCGCCCCACGGCGGCCCCACGGCTGCCCCACGGCCCCGCGCACACGCACTCATGTCATAGAAGTGCTGCCAGAAGGCCTCCATCCAGCGCTGCACGTCGGCGCGGCTCTCGGCCAGCAGCGTGTGGGTGACCTCGTCGGCGCCGTAGCGGTTGGTGACGGACACGCAGTGCCGCGCGCCGCCCGGCTCCCGCTCGGCCGCGCGGATCCGCGTCTCCTGCGGACAGGGGGTCAGCCCGCGCGCGGCCCTGGCCCTGGTCCTGGCCCTGGTCCCGGTCCCAGTCCCGGTCCCAACCCACCTTGTTGACGGCGATGGTGAGCGCTGGCTCCTCCTGCCCCTCGGCGTCCTGCGGGCGCCGGTAGCACAGGAGGTTGGTGCCGCGCAGGACGCAGTAGAGCCGAGCCCAGCTCTGCGGCTCGCCCGCCTGCTGCTGAGGGGACAGCAAAGACCCCTGGAGCCCGGCCCGCTGCACGGGCCCCCTGGTGCCGCGATCCCTGCGCGTCCCGTCCCATCCCGTGCCGTGCCGCGCCGCGGCGCTCACCTGGAGCCGGAGGAAGCCGCAGGTCACCTGCGCGGCCATGCAGCGCGGCTGCGCGGCCAGGCGGCAGCACATGCTGCCGTAGAGCGGCAGCCAGAAGGAGCTCTCCTCTGCGCGGGGACACGCTCAGCCCGCGGCGCCGGGCTCGGCCTCGCCCCACATCCATCGCACCCCCAATATCCTGCCCTGGCCCCCACCCCTGCCCTGCCCCTCGTCCTACCCAAACCACCCTGTCCACCCGCCCCATATGGCCAAAACAGCCTCAAACCCCCCTGTCCTGCCCAGAGAACCCCCCATGGCCGCCCAGACCGCCCAGCCAGGGCCCATCCTGCCCCCCCGTCCTGCCCAACCTGCCCCAGAGCCCTCCCCTCCCCMCCCAAACTGCCCCCAACCCCCCATCACTGCCCAGACTGCCCCCAGACCCTCATCCTGTCCATACGGCCCCAGCCCCGTCCTTCCTGCCCTGCCAGCCCCCAGCCCCATCCATCCCCATGCCAGGCAGGACCGGGTCCCCCTCCCCGTGCCCCGGCCGCCGTGCGTGGCGCTCACCGCTGCAGGTGACGGCGAGGTCGTGCGTGCGGAAGCCGTCCTGCACGTCGGCCAGGGACAGCACCGTGTGCGCCAGCAAGTGGTACTTGGGGCCGCTGCGGGGAGAGGCGATGAGAGAGGAGCAGGGGCGCGCGGTGCACTGTGCAGCACTGCATCCCGCAACACTGCATCCCGCAGCGCTGCTCCATTGCACTGCCCAGCGCTGCACCCTGCAGCACTACACCCTGCTCCATTGCACTGCCCAGCACTGCATGCTGCAGCACTGCACCACACATATCGCACCATGTAGCACTGCACCCTGCAGCATTGCACACTACAGCATTGCGGGATGCAGCACTGCACCACGCAGCCTTGCTCCGCAAAGCACTGCACTGCCCAGCACTGCATGGTGCAGCGCTGCACCCCACCCCACAGCACCGCAGTGCACCACGCAGCATTGTGCCACGCAGCATTGCACCCCACAGCATTGCACGCCACAGCATTGACCCCCGCAGCACTGCACTGCCCATCACTGCACTGCCCAGCACTGCACCCTGCAGCACTGCACTCCACAGCATCACAGCGTGCAGCGCTGCACTGCCCAGCACTGCATCCCACAGCACTGCACCCCGCAGCGCTGCGCAGCCTCGTGCAGCGCGGTACTCACGGCACGCTGGGCACCGGCAGCAGCAGGGCGCTACTGCCGCCGTTGCTCAGGGGGCTGCCGGGCGCCCCGTCGAGGGCGGCGCGCAGCCGCTTGCCCGAGGAGCGGCCCAGGGAGCTGCTCAGCTTGCTGGCCAGCTTCTTGGGCGCGCTGCCCAGCGCCGCCTCCTCCTCCAGCGCCGCGCTGTACAGCTCCACCCGCAGCTCGAAGTCGGGCCCGGCCTCGGTGCTGCGGGGACGCGGGGCTCAGCGGGGCGGCCGCACGCGGAGGGCACCGCCGGCCCCGCGGCCCCGCTCACAAGAGCACAGCGTTCTCGAAGCAGATGTCGGTGAGCGTGCGGTCCACCAGCACCATCTCCGTGTCGTAGATCTCCACGCCGAGGTGCAGCAGGCAGAACACGGCGCAGCGGTGCAGCTCTGCACGGGGGGCCGCGCTCAGCGCCGGGGGGCCGCGCTCTGCACCGGGGGTCCACGCCGCGCTGCCCCCCGCCCCACTCACCTCCCTTGTTCTTGAAGTACTCGGTGTCCTTCCACATGAGCGGGATGCGGAGGTCTGGGTGAGGGCGGAGGGCGGTGAGGGGTGGCGCGGGCGCCGCGTGGGCGCCGCCGCCCCCAGCACCCACCTGAGACGCAGACGGTGCCGCGGCAGGGCAGCCGCTCGTCCGCGGGGCCGGCGTCCGAGGGGCTGCGGGAGGCGCAGGGCTGTGACGGCGCCCGCAGCCGCGGCCCCCGGCGCCGCCGCCCCGCGCGCTCCTCACCGCCTGGCCACGCGCTGCATCACCTGCACCTCCTTCATGCGCTGCAGCTCCGACATGTAGGCCAGGATGCGGCTGTTGCACACCAGCAGGCTCTTGGTGGCCTCCAGCGCCTGCTCGCGCTGCGTGCAGGCCGCCAGCAGCTTGCAGGCGCCCTCCCGCATCCGGATCTCGTGGTCAATCTTCTTCTGGATGTCCGTGTCCTGTGGGAGGGTGGCAAGGTGGGAAGGGGGTGGGGGTGCTGAGGGGTTGGGGTGTTGCAGGCAGGAGCATTGGCCCCGCACTGGGACACAAATGGGCCCTCTGGGGCAGTTGGGGCAGGATGGGGGGCAGGATGTGGGGCAGGATGGGCTGGCACTGTCCCCTCTCCCATGCGGTGGTGGCTCCAGCGCAGCGCCCAGCACGGGGCAGCCCTGGCCCTGCAGGGAGTAGGACCAGAGGCGCAGAGGGTGCAGGGGTGCAGGGAGGGTGCAGGGAGCTGTGCACCCTGCCCCGCTCCAGCTGGGCGCGTTTGGCTCCCGGAGCGCCGGGACGGCCCCGGCCCCACGGTGCTGCCGCCGCCCCACGCCCGGCCTCCCTCTCCAGCAGCCTCTGCTGCCGCCCCCAGTAAAACACCGACTCCCCCCCAGGGTTGCCAGGCAACCCCTGCCTGGGCGAGGCCGGGGGGGCTCCTCTTCCCTCCAGCACCCCCCCACAGCGGGCACATCCACAGTTGTGTCATGCACATTGCAGGCATGTCGTGTGTCACACGGATGCGTCACATGCCCCACACACGTGCCAGGTGCCCCAAGGGACATGTTACGTGCCCCACAGGCGTTCATGCATCCCTTGGACGTGCCAAGTGCCCCACAGACACCCCATAGATGCATCCTGCGCCCCGGAGATGCACCACGCAGCCCACGGATGCATCTCCCACCCTGCAGACGCTGCCTGCCCCAAGCCATGCCCGGCCTGTCCCCACGGCGCTGCTGGTCCCCATCCCGGAGCCAGGGCTACAGTGCTGCCCCATGCGGCCCCGGGATGGGATCTGCCCACACCCCGACCAGAATCACTCCCCACGTCCCCCATGCAGGAGCTCTGGGACCCTGTGGGGACGCAGAACCCCACCCTGGGGTGCTCAGCACCCACCTCTGCACCAGGGTCCCCCCAGGGTCCAAATTTGCTGCAGCCCTTGAGGGGGAGGACCCGGGGGGCACAACCCGCAGCGCGCCCGGCCGCGGCCCCCCCGGGCAGCCCCCCCCCAGCGCGGGCCCCCCCGCG